TTGATCATAGAAAATTATTTCATAATTCATAGTTATTTCTAATGCCTGACTGTACTGGGTCACATGAAATTCATTCTGTTCACTCACTGAGTGATAAAACTTTAATAAAGGGAAAAAAAGTCTTAGAATTTCACGTTGTCAAGTGATGTCTACTTCAGATGATAATTAAGTGAGACCTCCTTGATCCAATTTGCTCTAAATGTTATGTAAGAGAGTGAAAAACGAGGTTTCAAAACCTTATTGACTTGGGGTTGCCATTGAATAAAAGCTTCAAAGACGTTTTCTCATTTTTTTCTCAGTATTGATCCAATTCCACAATTAAGGACATGGGGTCTATTTGTAATTTTACAAGTTTTATCTCTGCAATAGCATCCCACTGTTCAAGCCAAGATAATAGTGCTCTTTCCATCACTTCAGCTAAGGCTGTGTCAATATTTTCTTTAGAAGCCTGGGTTTATACACTGAAACTGTACCACAGCCAAAGAAATTCATGTACAGTTAAAATTAAGACAGCAACATCTGAAATCCTGTGGAAAAGAAAGAAAGTGCACTCATTCCTGAGCTTTAGGAGAGAAGTTAATGATCCTGAGGCCTTTTTGCATGTATCCTTCAAACCCCTTCCTCAGCTCCTGGCATTTTATAGCTTAGCACTCCATATTCCTCGCTGATGATATGTTAGCTGTGAGTGGAAGGTTGTAGAAACTGAATTAGTTTAATTTAAGAAACGAGCTACTATGTATGCTCGGGGTCTAATTGCAGTAAGGAATCCTTTCTCTTACGTGTGTAACAAAAATATATTTTTACAGGTATTTGGTGTGGATTGATGTACTATAGGTTTCTCAAAGTAGCTGTAAAATTTGTTCTATACCATGTTAGCATTCTCCAGTGAACACAATGGGCTATAAATCTTTTGAATTTATGTATTTTCTTAATGATTCAGGTTTTAAAGAAGCATATAATCTGTAAAACAGTATTCAAAGTTGGGATAGAGAAGCTGGAGAAATATTAACAGTCCTCTGTGCCTCAGACAAAATTTCCATTGATTTCAGTGTCTGGTTTAAGAACTGAACACAGCACGTGTGGTTTCAAAATTATTCTAAGATTGTGGAATCATTCACATTGTCTGTGAAGAAGAAAAAATATCTTTCTGAGGTGGACTGGTTACTTTAAAAATCTCAGTAATTATTGTATCCTTCTTAGCACATGTACATCAGGGGTCACACATTTTATTGTGATCTGCACATTCAAGTTTTTGAAATTAATTTTTTATGCTAAAAAAGAAAACATAACAGAAAACTACAAAAGCAGATATATATCTCACATTTTATGGAAGGTTCATATCAATTAACAGGAAAATATGAAGAAAGCAAACAGGCTCGCTTAGCAAATGAAACAATCTGTTATGAGAAAAAATTACCAGACGTGGTATAAAAAAAATGAAAATACAGACCATTGGAATGGCATAAGAAGGAATACCGAAGTATAGTGGATTTAATGATCACTTTGATGATAATGGAAAAATCAGTATTTGAAATGTTTAAATGTAGTTTACAAAGGGGCTGCTGTTTTTCCAAGCCTCATCCATGTAGATCTATTTTATTCAAAACCCCTCTTTCTGTAAGAGGTGAAGAGTGGGAACATGAACATTTATCTTAAAAAAGTCCTTCCCTAACTAAATTTTGAGTGAGCAAAAAAGTGAGTTGGACTGCATAAGTATTATTTGCCTGTTCTCTGGGGAATGGGGTATCCTATATATGTCATTTTGGGAGACCAGCCAAAAAAGAAGATGCCAGAACTCTAAAGAGTCGGGGTTTTGCAATACGACAAAAATATTATAATAGGATAAAAAAACACCCAGTCAGGAAAACAAAGTTCTGAATTTGAAGGTGATAGAACCAGGTCTTTGAAAACCCCAGTGTGTTTAGTGGGGGATTTATTCTTTGACTGCTGGACCAAACCCAGTTAACTCCTCTGTTACACTCATCAATATTTGTGGCGAGTTGCCAACACACACAGTCTTATACAAAACACAAGACAAGACAAAGTCTCTGTCTTGTTGTATCTTTCAAGAAAGAAAGAGATGGAAATTTTGATATGAATTCCAATAGAAAGAGCAGGTGTTTACAATTTTAACTTCAGGAAAAGTAAATGTATTCTTATTTTTCTCCCTGGTTACTTGACAGAATTATGATTGCAGTTCCCTTGATAATTATTTTCTAAATTTGTTTTTGAAAGTGAGGTATTTGCAGCTCTGACAGGTTGGGGTTTTAATCAAAGTTAGCATAAAAGTTTAATTTTTTATTCTTTAATATGAAATTATTTGCTTTTGTCTATTTTTCTTTTACTTTTTAATCTTTTTAAGTCTTTTCAATTCTTATGCTTAATAATTTCTATCTAGCCTCTTAGCTACATATTTCTTGTTTCAATATACATGTCTTAAATTTCTATAACTGGTACAACTATGTACAAAAGTTTCAATTTAAAATATCATGATGATTAATAGAGTTTTATAATTACATATTATGTAATTAATGGTGTGCAAGTATGAACATGGTGAATACTATTTTCAGAGCAGATTTATTTGATGCAAGTTTTCCGGGGCTTCAATTCTAAATCCATTTGAGTTATTACTCTGCTGCATCAGCATTTATTGATTTTAAGGTACAGCATTAGCATTCACTTATCACTGCATATTTTTCCCCATTCTCCATTAAAAGAGCTTGCCCTCATCTGTCACAATCTCATACTGCATAAATCATATAAAAGGGTTACTTGTTTCCATGATTTATTTCATTTTTATGTTAATTATACTGAAACATTGGATTGTTTAATAAAAATGTTGAAGCTAATCTATATTGGTCATCAATATTTTTTACGCATTTTACACCATGGAATGTGTGATATACCACAATATCCAACTTGCATGGAAGGGTATTAAAAGTGAATTAGGATTTAAACTATCTTAGAGCTGAGACACATTTTAATTTTACAGATGCCAAATCAAACATGATATTTACACAGTATTTTAAGTTAATGGTGTCTATTAATATTAATCACTAGAAAAATACAGCATTCAGTCCCAGTTTTCACAGTTTTGAAACACAAGATAAGCTTTAGCTTCCCAGAATTACTTTCTTAAGGCAGCACTGGCATCCCAACAAAATAAGACAAATATTAGAAAATTCCTATCCAAAGCAAGACTCTCAGTGGAAACCTGAGTTCTTCCAGAGAAGGTTTTTGTCTGGGAAAGCACAGTAGGATCAGCCTAGGACATATCTGACTCTGAAACTTCAAAGACTTCTACTCATTCACTGCAAGAAGTCCTATTGTAATCAAAGACATTTCTGTAATCAAAGGCTAGGTCCCATGTAAATAGTCCTCAGGGATGCTGATGGAATGGTCCCTGATATATTTACAGAGGGTACTTCTCAGGACACACAAGGAATATTTTTGCAGGATCAGTGCCTTGACTAAAGCTAAGGATAAGGGTATTTCTGATCTTTCTGTATAACTTTGCTGTTTTAAATTCAGCTGACTCCAGAAGCTCTGGGTAAATCGAGGCACGCAATGTTAATTTAAAAGTAATGCATGAGCAATATATAACAGTTTCCTAATGATATGGAACACATATTCAAAAAACAGATTCCATTTCTTTCCTAACCTGCTATTTCCGGAGCAAAAACAACAAGCAAATGTATTTAGAGGTGTGGACATCTGTTACTCTTAAGGAAAAAGATCTCAGACTTGAACACCTCCTTGTCAGCCAAATAACTAATGAAAAGTGATTTTGTTATTATGGAAAATAAACTCTAGCGTGTTACTTTCCTAGAATTTTAGTATTTGGAGTATTAGTATTTACTAAAAACCGGGTAGACGTAAAAACTGCAGAATGTGTGTGATAAAATGAAGGTATTTTGGAATATGTGCAACTATTAAAAAGTTTCTACAGAAAGTATTACCCTGGAAAACAAGAGTTCATCAGAATTTATACCAGCTTATTGTGAAACTGCAAGTTTTCAATTAAATCTCTCGCTATTCCAGTCCAATGAGAAATGGCTTTTTTAGCCAAATTTATGAGTCCTGCAGCATTTCAAATACTTATAAAAATACTAAATGGATTTTTTTGAATTATTTGCAGCTTTCTAGATGAGATTTAAGTTGTGCTTTAGTAAAGAAATCTGTAACTGCTTTTTTCTCCTACAATGTAACTGGCAAGCATGTTTATTACACTCAGAAGCCAATATAATTTAGTTTTATCAGGTTTTCTATCTGAATTTATATAATTTTCAAAAGCATTCTTTGCTTGCATGTTTCTGGTGTTTAATACTCTACTTGTCATTTAATTTATTTATGACAGAGAAAATAAGAACCATTGTAGATTCTGAGCACCATAGCAGTATAATAAAACACAGCCTGTTGTTATTAAATAGAAATAACAAAGGAACAGCAACAGATTATTTAAAATCCAACCATTCAACTAAAAAGATAATAAAATTCTGACTCTTAACAACAGAAAAAAACCCCCACTAAATAGCCTAAGAATTTTTTTAATGGTTTAACTTTTCCCTTTTCATACCTTTTTAAGCTTTAAAATATTAGCAACTGATGTTTGTTCATGTGTAAGCTTTAAGGAAAACACTGAGGGAAATAACTGAGCAATAGGCATAAGTGTTTGATTTTTAGAGATTTAAAAAAAAAGGAGTTAGTTGGCCTAAGGCTAGAATTTTCATTACATCAATGAAAGAAAGAAAACAGAAGCCAGCAGAGGGAAGTTATAGAAACTGACTTTATATAAACAGTGAGAAAAATCTTTTTCCATGGCCACCTACAATGTAGCTACTTTACCATCCGTATGATTTTTCTTTTACCGGTGGCACAGCAGCCGGGGCTCAATCCTGCTGTTTCAGAACAGGTTACAGTTCGGCCGAGAGGTTTGCCCTTCACAAGAGCAGGCTAAGAGTTTGTCAGAGAGAGCAAAAACAAAAAATATTTCCACATACCTAAATTGACAAAGCTCATGACCATGTCAGCATCATTCAGAAAGTTGGTGTCGTGCAGGCTGGCTAAGGGAGGATTCTGTGTGGTCAGGGGGGTCATGCGAGATAATTGCATTCTCCGCGAATATCCATTTGGAGAGGCAGGGTATCCTTTCCGTATCCCTCTGCTCTCCCCTGCCATTGATCCCTTCAGTGAATACTCCAGCTCCTCAGAATCCTCTTCATTTGTCATGGCATTATACAGGTCCAGCATGAAGAGGGGTGCAGAAGAAGCCTGCTTTCCTGGTGAAAATGGTCTGGGTCTGTGAGGTAAACCCAGGATAGAGAGAATCTCTCTCTGAATCTCCCTTCTCTCATGGTTCCGCAGCCTCCTGTAAATAAAACTTGAATGGACATGATTGTCTCCTAAACCTCCCTGTGCGTGACCCACCAGAACCCAGCAATTCCAGAGCAAGCCCACGAAAGCTTTGAGCGCAGTTAGGTTCATCTTTGAAAAGAAAAAGAACAAGGAAAAAAAAAAAAAACAACAACTTTTCTCCTACTTGTTCTGAGTTCCTATGAGGTCTGCTTTCCCAGTAGTTGAAAAACAAAATTTACCTATTCTTCATGTCAATGTCATCTCTAAACGTAACATCGTAACATCTTTGGTGATTCCTCTCCCCCCACCCTGTTTAAATATTATGGAATGTGTCAGGTTGCAGTTATTTCTAAGAAAGCTGAAATTCAGACTTCCAATACTTCCAATTTTCCACTGTTGTTATCGTTTTTTCTGCATTTATGGAGCAGAAGACCAGTATTTTGTCAGCTGACCTAGGCATTCCTATATAAACCTTAGATAACTGGGTCTTTGGTGGGGAGCTGTATTAGCAAGAGATGTTCTTCTGACACATTGTAGTTCCCAGAGTTATCTTCCCTCGTTATTCTGAGTTCTTCGTACACCTTGCGCTCTTCCCAAGATAAAATCCTGAGTCACAGATTTGTCTTGATCTGTACCTTGGTGGTGTAACACATATTTGTCCAGCAGCCTGGAGATGACTTTAACATCTTTTGAATCTCTTGAGTGTAAAGTAATTCTAAAGCATGTACTAATCAAATTAATGTGTTGCCATGAATTTACTTGCAAAAAATAACCTTCTGTAAATCCATTCAACCCTTTTCAGCTTCTGAACTGTTATTTCCAACTGTAGCAGGCACAAATATAACAGCTCTCTTCAAGAGAGATCTAAAGACTAATGTAAGCACAACCCTGCTGGGAAAGAAGAGGCTTCTCATTGTAATTTGAAACGGGTATAGCAAAAAAGTCTTTAACCCTTCTCTTGCCAGATAGAGCTTTAAACCTCTCCCCCGTCTCTCCAATTTACAGTAATACACCTAATTTTGGTTAATGGCTGTTTTTTTCGTAATAGCTTGTACAATCAATTTTAACAACTTTAGGATATATAGATGGCATAATATGGAAGCTCATGTGAGTCTCCTTAAGAGTCTATGGTTTATTAAACCTGAGTAGGAAACTCTCATAACAGATTAAAACAGCAACTCACTAATTCAAGAAAAGTTTATGTTTTAGGCAAATTTAGCAAACAAAGATGAGCTTCTTAATAAACTCTGTAGGACATTTTGTAAGTGAGGCTTGATTCACTCTTTTCTAAAAATGTTGGAAATGCAATCTGAATGAAAACAAATTTATTCAGCAAGTAAGATTTCAAATTGTGCGCAGTCAAGGCTGTAATTATGGTTATAGTCACAACTTTCATAAACTGTAATTTGCAATGATAATTTATTCAAAGTACATTTTTACTCATAAATTGCTATACTATTTTTCCCAGTAAATATGTAAAGTTAAGATTTAACCCCACAGCCTGTTATTAACTTAAGTTTAACTGAAGAAATAGGAATATTAAATAGATTTTAAAGCTGCTGCCAATGAAGTTAAGGTTCAGTGTAGAATTTTTTCTACACTAAGGACAGCAGGTAACTGGTGTTTTCCTCTCACTAAAACAAAATCACTGTGTTAAATTTCATACTGCTCAGATTATTGGTGATCATTTTCCTTGCTGGTAAAATTTGCCTTTAGCCTTGAGGAGACTTTACTTTGATGAAGAGAAGGGAAAAGGGACAAAAAAGGTTTTTTGTCAACATGAAATTAGGGGGAAAAAACTAGCAATATAAAATCCATTGCTTTGGGTTTTCCTTTACATGACACCTACTCAGCAAATCACACACTCCTTGAGTAAACTTGGGAGTGTGACAGCAAGTATAGTCACACCCTAAGAAGCCAGGAACAATTTATCTAGTATATTAAGCACAAACAAACTTTACACTCTAGTCCAGCCATCACCTAAATACAGCTGATTCTCTCTCATAAATCAGCACATGTAATGCTTCTCCCAAGAAAGGATTTATCTCATGCTAGACCTGCCGAATTGGCACTAAAATTAGGAAGATATTTAGCAAAAGTCTTGTTCTTCTTAGCAGAAGAGCAATCACAATCAGAATACATTTTCTTTCCTCGCTAAGGTGTTTCTTCAAAATCTATTTGTTAAAAGAAAAGTGTTATTTCCTGGTTTTTCTTCTTTTCATTTGTTCTGCTCAGTCAGTTGCAAAGATACATGAGACTTTACCATACATATGTCTTTTCTAAATTTGGCCATCACATAGCCTGCAACAAGACTTCTTCCTCTTTTCCAGTAATATATTTCCTTTTTTCCCTAAGCATTCATAAAAGCCAGTGGATTGATTGCTCAGAGGATTTAAGTCCTCAGCCCATCAGTATGTCCAGCAATAGAAATTTCCTATATTATGGGACTAGAAGTTCCACATTAGTTAATTTTTTTTCGTTAAAAAAGCCAAAAATGTCTTTAAATTCAAAGGTATTTTTATGTAGCAAACATCTTTCCAGACAGTAACTAAATAAGAACGCATTAAAACTAGCAATCATATGTTTGATGAAAGGAGCTCCTGTTATTTTTTTATGGAGCCACAACCAAACAAGTAACATAAATACAAAGCATTTATTTTACAATGACTTGCACTCTACTCTGGCACCAAATGTCCCAGACTAGAACACAGAAATAAATTTTTTTTAAAGTTTTTAATAATGTAAACAAAATTTCCTTTTGCATAAGCCTATATTCCATAAATACTCAGTCTTAGCATGGGTATTTCATACAGGGCAGCTCTAAAATTGAAAATCTCTGCTAAAGAAGTGAAAAGGTGTCTGTAATCACTGATAGAACCCATTTTGCATTTCCAATATGAAACAATGAGCATCTAAAGAAAAAATAACGTGTACAATTTCAGCATGTCAAGATAGGCACAGATAGACCTTTCTTTGCCAGATGCTAAACCTGGTAGCAACATAAGAAATCACCTGAACAGCCCTTACCCAGCCCTTTAAAAATAAAAGGAAGACTAAAATGGCTCCAGAAGTGAGCTCCCCTTAGGGATAGATATCTGAGAGAGGAGCACATAACCAGTGGTGCACCTGGAGAGCAGGGACTCGGAGGCAGGAAAGCAGCAGAGCACCGTGCAGGCACCCTGGCAGTACAAGATAGGAAGCAGCTGCATGAATTTCTTAAACAATGTGGCATGTATGCACATGATGAGTGAATTCAGAGCTCATTACGTTTGTACTAACCTAAACAATGTTAGAGAAAATATCGTAGGGGAAGTAATGAAACCTGGGAATCCAGATCTTGCCAATCTTGCATTCCAATGGATCACCATTCACTGTAATGGTGAAAAAATTATAGCTACCCAGCAGACCACTGTAATCATTGAAGGGAGAAGTGGTTTTGTGGACAATGCCCACTACTCAAAAATATACAAAAATCAGTGGATGGCTTCTCAGTGCAGAATCCCTTTGGTTCTCAATGTCACAACAATAGAGGGTGATTCCCCACAGCAATGTTTCTCTGCAACTGTTTGGCAAGTTAGACTGAAATGCAGACCCAATTCAGGATATTTGCAGTCTAAATCTGAAACATACGCGTGCACACAGAGTAATTCTGATGGCCCTGTCCCTCCTTAATGACCAGCTAAATTTGACATTCAGATCAATATTATGCATAAACAGATGATTCAGCATTAAAAATGTTAAAGTCTTTTCTTGTTACCTCCCTGCAAGGCTATTGCTGCAAAAAGTACGTGGAGAAAGACTCCTATAAAAAGGTTTCATGAGAGCTGGAGAATAATTAGTTGCTAAAGCTACAGATTCCCCAGCAAAAAGAAAGCAAGTAGTCTGAACACCTCCTGGGGGAGGAATGTGACACTGACACCATAATTTGGCAAACCTGTTGCACTACCTGTGCCCAAGTCAGATTCAGAGTGGTATGGACTGCGTAAGGTGTACATTTCAGACTTAGGACATAGTTATGCATACATCCAAATGTTCCAAATGTCCGATCAAAAAAACTTGTACATAATTTTCACTCAGTTTTTTATTTTATTGAGTTGGATGTTGTATGGCATGTATTCTTAGCCTGCTAACATAAGAATGAAGCAAAAATATATTTTTCTGCATCATCTTCGTCTTCTAATGCGAAGGTAATTCCATTTGTAAGGGGGACAGTGTGAAAACTGGTAGAATTCACTGCAGAAATTGGCAGCTAAAACATAAACTAACTATGATGTTTGCAAACCCCTTTTATTCAGAGTATTATTTATTTATAGAGAGAATACTTCCATTTTATGCTGCAGCAAAAGGAATGCATTGCAAAAGAACACTTATTATGTGGAAGTGTTCGATACTTAGATTATAATGCTATTTATTCAGTTATCAACCAGTTTCCTGAAAAAAAGAGTTTTTCATCCAGATACTCAAAAGCACAGGAAAAATCACAAATCAGCCTAGGAGGTAAGTCATCAAGCATTTTATAGATGGCATTTAATAGAACACTTCGTTTAAAATTTACAGAAAAGGCTCCAGCTTCAAGTACAATAATTTGTGAGGTTTGTTCTATTCACAGTACATACACAATGCTGTAAAATTATCAGCACAGAATACTCTACAGTATTAAAATTATACTTTTCTTTGACATTAAGAAAATTGAGAAAAATAATTTTGCAATCTGCCTTAGGACTTTTTGAAACTTCTTGTATTCAAGGACTGAGAAATAAAAAACCTTGTTTCACGCATATACTTCAGAAACGAGAACAACAAAACATACAATTAATAATTTGATTCAACATCACAGTGCTATCATTTGTATAATTTAAAAACCCAAAGAACTCCCAGAAATCCCCTTTGGTTTAAAGCAAGCCCCTAATTATCTCAAAAGAAAAAAAAAATGGAGCTGCACTGAAGCAAATACAAAACACTTGGACAAGAGCAACAACATTTGCAAGTAGTAAAGCACTTTGAAAGAGGATTATTCTTGGCTCAGCTTGTAGAAGGGTTTTATTGTGCCCCAGCTGTAGACTGGTACCTGCTGGTCTCCTTGTTCTCTGGCTGCAGCACGGCCAGAAGTATCTTGTGCTGTTCCCAGG